GCGTCGTTAAAGTTTTGGTGTGCGTGTCACTAAATTTAAAATTTTAGTTCCCCATCAAAATTCAGGGGGAGTTTAGAGCTTTAAGTTTTTGGGAATTCCCTTGGCCAAAATTCAAGGGCTCTACGCACTTTTTTTTTAAAAAAAGGGGCTTCTTTTTTTTCCCTGAAAATAAAAAACCTACCCAAGAAAAATAAACATATTTATAAAATAAAGGAAAAAATTCAAATCACTTCCATTTATCATTCTCAACAATATATTACATAAAGGCACAAATAAAACTTAGCAAATTATTACCAACTTTCAAAAAAAGGCCTTTTTTAGTTTTTTTTTTTTTTTTTTTCTGGAAACCCTGAAATCTGCGAAGTTTTGGGGCTAGATCTATATAACAATTGATTTAGACCAATTAATTACATTCTAAAAAGATGAATGAATGTTCATGTGACCCAAATTTGAACAAATTTGGTTCAAAATCGCAGATGAAAACAACAATTACGTGGATTTTCAAGAAAGCTAACATTACTAGTAGGATTACGTGTATTGCACGCAAATATTCAATAAGGCACTTTAGGAAGCAAGAGATTAACAAAAGCATAATAGAAACATGTTCTCTTTACTGAACTTTGTCATACATCCCAATCTATTTTTTAAAGATTTTCTCAATAGTTTAATCTACAATTTGGTTCTATTTTTCAATAATGAAATTTCATGGAGAAATCAATTTAATTTTATACTTTAAAAGTTACTAAAAAGTACTAGAAATTTAATGTAAAAAATATAAAAGATAATAAAAATTAGTCCTAAATGTGAGTGCATATATCACATGGACCTCATAGAAGATAATTGAATAAATAATAAAGTGGGGATGCCAAGCATAAATTTAAACCAATAAAAGAAAAGTAAAACATTAATAAATAAAAATAAAAATAAAAAAGAATATTCAACAAAACTCTCGTTACAAATATAATTTTTTTTTAAAACATGTTACCATATGGAAGAGTAAAAATTAAATATTGAAAGAGACAATAGAAAATTATATTGAAGATCAAACAGATTGTCAATAATCTATGTCTCCAACCGTAGCAAATCCCACAACTTTAAAGAATAAAAAATTTAGCTAAAAAAATCAGAAGTTAGCAATAAACTAATAGTGAGGAATAATGTGCACAAAATAAAAAATCTTGACAATTTTATAGATTTATTTAAAATAAAAATTAAAAACCTAAACTACAACTATTAGTTATGTATGTAGAGCATGGGATCCCAACTCATATCAAGAAAGATTGAGAATGCCAAAAACATGCACGGCTACCTATACTTCTATCTAAATCCTCTGTAATGAAATGAACAAACTCAAATCACCAGAATCCAACATGACTACATAAAAATCACCAAAAATCCTATACAACTGAGTGAGACTAAATATTTAAGTGAGTGTGGCGAGTTAGGTGTGTCTCAGATTCCACGATGGTTAATTATGAAAGAAGGTTGAGGATGAGAGAGAAATCAACATCTCTCAATTCCATTTCTACACAATAACGACATTCATTAACTAAAAATAATAGCTTAACTGGCTTTGCTTATTTATTTTATATAATTATTGTATATATTTTTGTATTTTTGTAAATATAGACTCTCAGTTGCTTTAATCCATAACTAAAACATCCCATGCAATGAAAAGTATAGTAGTGAATCACACTAAAACTAATGAATCGTGTGATATGGAGAAAATACTTATAACTATATTACCAAGGAAAAAGCAAAAGAAACGTACCTCATTGAGAGTAAGGATGATGTATGAAGCAAAGAGAGGGAAAAAAAATAACCAAAGATCGGTAGAAGCTAATATAGTGTATGAGCAAATGGCTTGGGTGTTCCCATTTTAGGTTTTCTAACTTCAATAACATCAAAACCCTAATTAATGTGAGAGTGAAATAGAGTGGGGGAGGGGCATACATACATTGAAAGAGGTTATCATGCACTTTGATGGGGATACTGAAACAATCTTAATGCATATCTTTCTCTCTCTTGAATTTGAGTTGGGGATAGATACCCATTTTATGAAGTTTGAAACAAAAAATAGTGAAAAAAATATATATTATTTCTCAAATTAAGATATGGAAACAATCTCTTTCTTCCTAAAATCTCTACTCTTCATGCAAACAATCTTAGATATGTATGCATATTTTTCTCTCTCTTGAATTTGAGTTGGGGATAGATACCCATTGTAGGAAGTTTGAACAAAAATCGAGAGAGAAAAATCTCTTATTTTTCAAATTAAGATACGAAAATAATTGGTCTTTTTTTTCCTAAAATCTCAACTCTTTCTCTCTAAAATCTCTCTGTCTCTTACATATTCATATGGTAAACATTGGAATCCTATCCATCTTTACATATTCATATGTAGGTAAACATTCGAATCCTATCCATCTCTGTACGGTTGAGATAATGAGGGGCTTAAGGAAAGAAATACGGTGATATATACAAGGAGCTACATGGGTTGCGATAAATGACGGGCTTAAAGGAAGGAAATATGGTAACTTATACTAGGTCTCTTTTACTTTATAGTTCTCTCTTACTCTAATATTGATGTATATCTATTTTTGTTAATAACTGTGCATGCCTTGTAGCTCCTTCTTATTAAGATGTACATCTTCTCTCTTACTCTAATATTGATGAATATCTCTTACTCTAATATTGATGTATATCTATTTTTGTTAATAACTGTACGTGCCTTGTAGCTCCTTCTTATTAGGATGTACATCTTCCCTTTAATTTGTAGATATTTGTATCTCCTTTCTTCTCCACTTGCTCTCTCTTTCAACTCTTTCCGTCTCACATCTCTCTCTTCTCCACATACGTTCTCTCGATAGGGATTAGGCAACCTAGGTTTTTTTAATTTGGAAGTTATGTGCCCTACAAATACTCTAGAATTAGGGTCCCATCCAAGGCTTTTTTAATTTAGAAATTACGTGCCCTATATATACTCTAGACTTCGGGTCCCGTCTTTTTTTTGCGACACATGTCAACCCTTTTAACTCTAGCTTAATAAAGTAATATAGATATAGATAGTGAAACCCTAAATTTGAGAAAATTCAAAATAAGAAATAATGTGAGAACTACAAATACCTAGTGTGAAGAGCAAGGCTACTAGTAGATCGCAATCCCCAATGGGATTTGCAGGAATATAGAAAAAAAAATTTGTTTCTTTGGCGAATTTCAAATATAGGTGGAAGAAAACCCAAAATGTTTTGAACTAGATCTACAAAAAAGTAGGATTTTGTTGACCAAATGAAACCTTTAATTTTGTAGAAGGTTCGATCAGTTTCATTCGGAACCAAATTCGTGAGAGTTTGGTTCAAAATGAAGGAAAGCAGCGAAGTTTGACAAATTTCTTAGAAAAAAAAAAAAAACCGTGTTTTGTAAAAAGAAAAAAGTAATTTTTACTACAAACAATCCTTCGAAAATTGATTTGGATGAAAAAGAACAACTATTGATGGATCCACCAATTCCTATACCGTGGATTGCCAATTATGGGACAGGACTGGATGATTTAGGAAAATTTCGCATGGTTCCCAATGCCATAAAAGAATTGATTTCGTCAATAATGATTCCCCTGCTCTATAGGCATTTTTTTAAACCCCGTTTTCTCATTGTTCTACAGGTTCACCAATGGGCCCCAGTGTACCATACACCAGTAGGGCTGCCAACGGGTCGGGCCTGGAAAATGACCCACCCCCCGGTAAATATCATGGCACGGCAAGTACCTGCAAAACCCGGTCCGGCCCAGAAATTCACAGTTTAGGCCTGCCCAAGGCCTGGTAAGCACTTTATTGGGCTGGGCATGAGCCTGTCGTGGCCCATTAAGGCTTTTTTTTTTTTTGCTTTTTTTATCTCATTTTTCAAGTTTTTTTTTGTTTGTAGTAAGCCATAAAAAAAAAAAAAATTGTAAAATATTTTTTAGAAACTTTGCTTTGGTTTTTAGAGAGAGAGAGATTGAGTTTCTAGAGAGAGATTGTGAGATTGAGTTTCTAGAGAGAGAAAGAAAGATTGGGTTTTTAGTAGAGAAAGATGGATTGGGTTTTTTTGAGAGAGAATGAGTTTTTAAAGAGAGAAACAAATACTGAGTTTCCAGAGAGAGAGAGAGAGAGAATGGATTTTGCATGAGAGAGGTATTGAGTTTTTAGAGAGATTAGATTTTAGAGAGAGAAGGAGATATTGCGTTTCTAGATAGAGAGAATAGATTTTTAGAGAGATAAAAAGAGAATGAGTTTCTAAAAAGAGAATGAGTTCTTAGAAAAAGAGATTGGGTTTTTAGAGTGAGAAATGAGTTTATGGAGATAAAAAAGAGATTGAGATTTTAGAGAGAGAAATATATATTGGATTTTTAGAGAAAGAGAGATTCGGTTTTAGAGAAATACTGATCGAGAGAATGAGTTTGAGAGATAGAGATATTGGATTTCCACATAGAGAAAATGGGTTTTTAGAGAAAATAAGAGAGAGAATGAGTTTGAGAAATAGAGATATTGGATTTCCACAAAGAGAAAATGAGTTTTTAGAGAGAATAAGAGGCATTGAGTTTCTAAAGAATACAAATATCTAAAGAGAGATCTGAGTGGGTTTTAAAATTTTTTAAAAATATTTTAATATGTATTTTTATTTTTGGCTTAGAAGAATGAAGATTTAAAAAAAATATACAAAATAAAAAGGATACTCAATGGGCCTGACAGGGCTTTATTTGGACTGCGCTCTTATTAGGCTGGACAGAGACATTTTCGGGCTTACCAGGCCAGCAAGGTCCTCTCGGCAAAATGTCCGGAATTATTGGGACTCCCATAAACGGCCCGGCCCAAAAGTAGCTATGATTATGGTGGTCCGGCCGGTGCGGCCCGGTTTATTAACAGTCCTATAGAGGATAAGTGCGCTTTCCATTTAGTTATAAAGTTTACCCTAGTTGATTGGAATCGGAACATTTCAAGCCACAGAGTATCCACGCTTTTCTTCCTTGCAATATTAAAAAGGCATCGAACGTAGAGGGACGAAGGGCTCAAAAACTAAATAAGGGCCAGGCGCTTTTCCGAGGACTTCGCACGTCTATAAATACACCATTTTTCTTTTGTCGTTCTCTTTTTTGTTGAGCTCAGAGCGCCTGTTCTCTTAACGAGCAGCATGCCTAGGGCTCAGAGGCATGAAGTGCGATGATGAAGTTCAGCTTCAAGCCATGGATTTTGATAAGGACATGACGCTCTTGTCTGAAACCTTTGTAGAGATTTTGAAGGAATATCACAATGTCAAGGTTGGTGTTCATTTAATCTTTTTGGGATTTGTTTTCTATGCTTTTGAAATTATGATCTGAATGGACGTATGATTTGAATTAAGAACCAGTTTAATTAGCGAATTTTGTTTGATTTGATCGATTTTTTTTGTTGTTTTGGGATTTTATGTGACTCATTTTCGTTATGCTTAATGAGTCAATGATTAAGATTGCTTTCTGTTATGTGTATTTGTCCTTTTTTCTTTGTGATAATTAGTTGTTTAAAAACTGAGGCTCTATATTTGTATGGCCTTTGTAATTCAGTTGTTTTGTTAGTTATTTCGATGTTTATGATATTTGTTTGTTGAGGGTTGATGAATTGTGCTTGAACCTGTTTAAAAATTTGGTTCTATGTTTTATTGTGGATAGAAAGGATATTTAGACTTTGTATTCTCCCACAAAGTAGGATTTTTGATATGATATGCCTAAGATAAGCGTAACAAATTATTGTTTGTCTAATTTGTTTGATCCTTTGATTGTTTTTTTCCCTGTTTTTAATTTGAAATTTGGCATTAAAATCTGGAGGGGGATTTCTTTGCATAAAATAGAAATGAAGGGCTTTTGTGTCTCAATTTTAATAGTTTGGGTTTCAATTATCTCATCCATTGGTTTTATCGAAGCACTCCTGTGGGCATGTTAATCATGCTCTGTGAAGGTTGAGGCATAAAATGGTGCTCAAATTATTCTTTCTTCCATTCCTTCCTTTTCTCTATGAAAGTTAGGCCTTATCAACAATTAAAATAACAATTATACTCATAGAGGTAAGTTACAGTCTTTTCATGAGTAGGAGCCATGTTTGTCTAAATATCAATTATAAAAGTGTCAAGCTTGTTCGGTGACACATAGATCTGACTAGCCCACAGCATGTGCCATGCATGTGTAACTATTCAAATTACCGACTATTTTTTAGATCTTATATTTGAAATGTAAACGGATAGTATTTATGCAATAAAAATATAATTAAAATTAAAAAGTGCCATATTCCTTATAACTAAAATTCTCAGATTTTAAAAATGCCATATTCCTTATAACTAAAATCCTTATAATCTGAGGTTTTAAATTCTTATATGGAAATAAACTCTACTTAGAAATTAAAAATGTCATATTCCTTATTTGCACTGGAAAATTAAAAATTCTGATATCCTTATAACATGAGAGTTTATATTTATCGTATATGGGAATAAAATTTACCTTTTAGGACTCCATTTTATAAGGAGAACTTATTTTTTGAATTCCTAGTTTTGGTGTATTTCTTATTTTATTTATCGTCGTCATCATCATCATCTTAGCCTTGTCCCGACTACTTGGGGTCAGCTACATGAGTCTTGTTTTGCCATTGTGCTCTATCAAAGGCTAAACGCTTAGTCAGACAATAGGTCACCATATCTTTTCTTACTACTTCCATCCATGTTCTTTCTAGACCATCCCCTTGTCCTTTTAAAGCATTTCACTTGAACCAAATTGCCCCTCCTAACAATGGTGTTCTATGTCTACACTACACATGGCTAGACCACTTAAGTCTACTTTATATCAAAAGGCAAACTGAAGAAAAAAACACAAAAAATAAGGATTATGTCTTAATCCCATGCATTCAAGGATACCCTATTGTAGGGAGGTATTCCTACTTTATAAGGAGAGGAAGATATGCAAGGAAACCTTAATTCTTAGGGCTGAAATGTGCAGGGGAATTTCGTTAGGGCTGCAGAAAGATATAAGGGTATTGTGAAGTCAAATGGATTTGACGGCCTTTAATGCATGAGTATAACAAACACACTTGTATCCTAAGAAATTTAAAATACAAGGTAAGATTAAATGAAGAGCCATTTTGTTGTGGCTTACATTGTATTCATGCGATTGGGATTCAATATTACTGTATTAGTTTTTAAAATATGTGAAATTTATACGTTTGAATTCTGGTTGTTCTCATGTGATGCTCTTTATGATAATGTTGTTTACACACTATGAGTTTCTTGGAGCCTTTCTTTGAAGATTGAACGCTTGTTTCATTTCTTTCCACTTGTGACAAGGAGAGTTAGAACTTGGAGCTGCTACATCTCTAGGCACTACCCATGGTGCCAAAGCGGTAATTTTCAACCAAAAGGCCAACGCAAAATTGTGGGTTTTGTTATGTTTTTCTTTCATTTTTCCCCACTATATAAGTTCAAGCTGCAGATCTCTCGATAATGATCATGCTCATCATAGTTTTGATTGCTAGCACGTATAGAAACCGCTATCTTATTTATATATCTACTTTCTGTGGGATGTCATATCTTTGCCAATTTTTGTTTTCTATTTTTATTGTTCATGCAATTGAAATTGAATCGTAGTTTTTGAAACATGTGAAATTTATAAGTTATAGATATAATTAGTCTCATGTGATGCTCTTCATGAAAATGGTGTTGTTTATGCACCAAGAATTACTTAGAGCCTTTCTGGTTCATTTGAAAATTTAACTCTTATTTCATTTCTTTCTTTTGCAATTAAGAGGATAATTAAAATGAAGAGTTACTAAGGGTCTGTTTGATAGCACCCTAATATTCTAATATTTCGGGATAATGTATAAACTATCATAATCTTAATTATATTAGTTTGTGTGTCTTGTTTGATAGGGTCAAACTATATCTTTTAATATTTAAATAACTCTCAAATATTTGAATTCTCAATAATTCAAATTTGAGTTGAATTTTGCGGGATTCAATTTCGCCGTGTATAAGTTTTTGTGTTTCTCCGTCTCTCGTCCACTCAGCTCTCTCTCAAAGGAGACCCTACCTCTCTCTCTCTCTCTCTCTCTGGCCATGGAAGAGGCCTGTGAGCTCTGGATGGAAGAAGGCTTGTCTAGCTCCGTATCTCATGAGTTATAGAAGACAAATTAATTCAAAGCAAGGGTCCACCATTAAAGAAACTACTCAGAGCTTGAACGGATTGGGATGGATTCAAATCTCCCTGTAGGGCTCTCTCTCTATGCTTTCTTTTTCGCTCTCACTCTAGAAATCAAGTACAAAGCTTCTTTCTCTAGGATGTAGAATGCCTTCATTTCTTTCTCTCTCTAGATTTTGGAAACAGGGGGCCCTATAGGGTTATCGAGACAGGGGGAATATACTGGGTTTTGAGGATTGCAAGGGAAGAAATCTACGTGTTGTAGTAGAAATGATATCGGAGACCACTGTTTCTCTCTCTAATATTTTTTTTAAATTGGCTGGCTGCCAAAGGGTAGTCGATGGGGAGGATCTCTGGTTTTTGCTTTACCTTCACTATGAGAAAAGGCTTTTCCCTTCTCTAGTTTTGGCATATGGACACGCTTCCAAGGTAATGCTCCAGAGGAGCTATCTATCTCTCTAGCTTACTGAGACGGTGGAATGCCAAGTTTAATGGACTTTGGATAATGTTCTTTTCTCTTTCAAATGCAGCAGGCTTCAAATGGTGATCATCCAATCTCTCTTAACAGTCAAAAGATTGATAGGCTCGAAAAGGGGTATTGGAGAAGCTACTCAGTTCTCTCATGCCTCCCGTTCCCTTATTGACAGAACCCATTTCATCTTGTTCATACTATTGATTTGGACGGATTAAAATCTAGGGTTTGCCACAATATAAACAAAAACAACATTGGAATGCTCGAACACGAAATTAGAGAATTGGGTTATCACAAACTGCTCGAGATTTTATTTCAATGGAAAGTAGATGAAGAATTGGTGCTTAGATTTTCTCATTTTCAAATGGTCTTAAAAAAAAGGTGGGTAAAATGATAGAAGACGAAAAATTGCTAGATGAGATATAGAGAAGGGTCTAGTTCCTAGTCTTGTAACACATAATTCTTTTAAGAGGTGCATATTCATGGACTTCAATGATCACTGAAAATACAGGTAGACAATCAAATGTGCACAGAAAACATATATTAAGATATTATAAAATCCAAATATATGAAATAAAAGGCAATTTCTAAATATTTAGATATAAATCCTATTTTGTCAAACGTATCCTAAATCTCTAGACATGGCCCAAGGTGCCAAAGTGGGAACTTTCAACCAAAAGGGTAATACAAAGTTACGGTTTTTATTTATTTTTCCATTCTTTCATTTTTTTCCTATGTAAGTTCATGTTGTGGAGTTTTTGATAATGGTCATACTGAATCATTGATCATAGTTAAGCATGATTACTAATATCGAATGAGCCGCCATTTTTTTTCTATATCTATTTTCTGTGGGATATCATATGCGTGTTCAATTTTTAATTTGTATTTTCATTTAGGCTCCTGATTTAATTATACAACCAAAATAAGGTATTTATTTATTTAATATCCATGTGAGAATATTGCATAGACTTTTACCAGATGAACCTAATGGTTATATCCTTTAACTGCAGGATTTTGACACGAAGAAGCATTACGAGAGCTTCCTCTTTCTTCCCACCTACTCAGCCTTCTAGTGGTGCAGCACTTACTAACTACGGGAAGCCTTTAGCTTCAAGGCTTCCTTCCATATTAGGCAAGCATTGTAGCACCGTAGTGACTAACCATGGAAGGCCTTTTGCTTCAAGGCTTCATGCCATCTTACATAGATATTATTCACCACCAACTATTCTCGCGAAGAACCGAACTGCTCAGAGAACTGTATATTCCAGATCCATACCCTTTATGATTACTAAACCAAAGTTATATAAGAATTACCACACCAAGACTAATTTTTCCCCAACCCCAAGTAATCCTGTGACACATCATTCCCAAGTTGCCTGGAGAAGGGTTTCTCTACCACACAAGTGTACTTCTATTGGTATAATAGCTCGTGCTGTGACCTTGGCAGTCACCAGATCACATCTAACTCCTACTCTTGTTGCATTCATCATTGGAGAGGCAGCATGGGCCCAAAAGAATTTGGTCAAGGCCGAAGCACTTCAAACAAGGGATTCACTATACATGCGGGCACAAGATGGGCGTGCTTATTTCACTTCATTTATTTTCTCGCTTTTGGAGGGTGTCATCTTACTTCTAAGAGCAGTCTATCTTTCAATTTTATTCATGCCAGCCATAACTATGGCCCCATTCGCTGATTGCTTTGGTTCCCATTTCCGGAATACTTGGCTCCGAGTTGTTCATAAAACTCTAGAGAGGGCAGGGCCAGCATTCATAAAATGGGGCCAATGGGCTGCTACTCGACCTGATCTATTTCCTCAAGATTTATGCACAGAGCTTGCGAAACTTCAAACCAAAGCACCCGTTCATAGATTTTCCTATACTAAGAAAACCATTGAGAAGGCATTTGGTAGAAAGATCTCTGAAATTTTCGAGGAATTTGAAGAGGAACCTGTGGCGTCTGGTAGTGTTGCTCAAGTACACCGAGCTTCTTTGAGGTTCCAATACCCTGGTCAGAAGGTCAAACCCATTCTTGTTGCAGTGAAGGTTAGGCATCCTGGTGTTGGTGAATCAATCAAGAGGGACTTCACGATTATCAACTATGTGGCAAAGATATCAAACTTTGTTCCTACTTTGAGGTGGTTGAGGCTGGATGAAAGTGTGCAACAATTTGCGGTTTTCATGCTCTCTCAAGTTGATCTCGCGAGGGAAGCTGCACAGCTTAGCCGTTTTATATATAACTTCCGCAGATGGAAAGATGTATCATTCCCAAAACCGCTATACCCGCTTGTTCATCCTGCTGTCTTGGTGGAGACGTATGAGCATGGAGAAAGTGTTGCGCATTATGTGGACGAGCTTGAGGGTAATGCTCGAATCAAATCTGCACTTGCTCATATTGGGACTCATGCACTTCTCAAGATGCTGCTGGTAAGTTTAACTTCATTTACTTCCCGATGTTTTTTGACTCTTCTCTTCTGCTGGCCAAGTTGATTGCTATATGTACATTCTTGTGTTCCTTCATAATGAAGTAATTAACACGTTTATGCATTTTTTAAATTAGATATTTGGGACTGTGTATATATATCTGTGAGCTCGTTTTTTTTGAGCTTTAATGTCCTAGAAAATAGCCAAAAAAAAAAAAAAGAGGTTCTGGAAATGTGTACATCCTGAGGTTGTAGTTCATTCTATAATTTTATCCTTTTTTGTTAATTTCAGTGGTTGGTTTGTAGGCCCCATTTTAGTGTGCTATATGACCATTTTGGTGTGCCATATGAGCGTCTTAAATAGAAAGGCTTTTCTTCTAGAAGAACTTTTTGAAACTTCATATATTTCCTTTCTTCTAAAAATATTACTATTCTTTATTGTCTACTTAATTTTTTTCATCGGAATAAATGACCAAATGTTTTGAATATTGTGGCAATACTTGAGCCCTTACCCTGTAACTGTCATTGAAGAAATGTTCTTCGTGGTGGCTTTGTTTCTTCTGGTAGTTCCAGATCTATCTGCTGGCAGTGTCATAATTAGTGTTCATCCTTCTTTAAGGTGCTTATGAAACCATTGCATTTAGGATTATCCTTTTCTGGTTAATTAATAGGATACAAACATCTTTTCTACAAGGATTTTCATAAATATTTCTTTCTTTTTTGGTTGACATGCATTAATGACTTTCTTTTTCTGATAGAAATGGATAAAAGCATCTCATATCCCTTTGGAAAATATATACAACACATGATTTTGAAGCATACCATTTTTTTTTTGATCTATATGCATTTAAGACTTATTTCCTCATAAATGTTCGATCTAACATGGATATGAATTATATTGAGCTATCCCTATGGGATTTGGATCGTGTTCCCCCATATGATATTAGGATCCAACCAAGATCCAGCTCTTGGAGCATGTGATCGCTGAGTGGACACAGGCAGATTTGTTCAAAAACAAGCCCCACAGCTAGTTAGGAGTGTTCTGGATCTGTAACCTTGCCAGTTCTGGTTGACTCGGGCTAGGTCGAGTCTGGTATGTCGAGATTTAAACACTGGATCAAGCAATCAGCTTCAGCCCTGAATCCACAGTCGAGAAGATTATACTTAGAACTTGAATCCACTTTGCAAATAACTATGAATATTCCTTGATGAGATTATCTTTAATATGGTATGTTATAGGAGAGGGTGTTAGACTTCCATCACTGACTCAATTGGACACAGAAATGGCTTAATTATGGCAGAACCAGTTTTAAATGGACGCACCTTCCAATGACAATATTGGTTGATATGGGAAAAGGTTGGAGATGGCATTTATGCTGGTTGACATGCCATGTGCTTTTGTTAACGTGGTCATGGTCATTGATAGAGTCCTCTAAACTAATGCATCAAATTGTTATTGCCAATTTAAGAAAATATGAGTAAGTGTATGTAAAATAGGGAGCTTGTAATATATTATTCTTGTAACTACTGTATAAACAAGTTTTTTCTTTATCATTGTTTATAAAGAAATATTGTAACTTACAAAAAAAAAATATTACTAGAAATATTATTAGGGTTCAGCTGGTCACCGAACCAAAAAGTGGCATAATTGGTTATTGGTCTGAAACTTGCCTTTGTTTTATGACAAGCTTTTGTCAATGGGCACTATGAAATACAAAGAAACAAAGAGTGGAATAGGCAAAATAATATAAAAACAACCTTGCACTGCTAGTAGACTAGCTTGCACTGCTAGTAGACTAGCCTCTTGCACCTTACTCTCGGGTCTTGGCAAGTACATCTGCTCCCTCACTGGCCCCCACTTGGAATATGCCCAAAGAAAACCATCATGCTACCCAAAAAGAAAACGCCTCAATTGATCTCCTAGGGATGGGATCATCTGTTTTGTCCAATGCAATTTAGAGGCATATCTGGTCTGAATTGTGTCAGGTGATCGGTCAGGTCTTACTAAAGAGAAGAATGGGTCCATCCACCTAGACAAATCATAAAAGTTTTCATAAACTATAAGGGTTCCATTTTAGCTTAACTTTTAAGCATTAAACATGTTTTTTTGAAATTGAAATCTGTACACATATGCCTGATCTTCGTTCATCAATGTTTTGGGATGGATATCAAGCTCTAAGTGACTCAAAAATTTCCTCTAATAACATCTCTCAAAATGAACCCAATAAAAAAAGGTAAGATATTAGATAATTTCTCGAACTTGTACAAATTTTTAGATCCAAACAAAGAAAAATCTAAAATCTTTTGTTTCTTTTTTTTTTGTGGGGTGGGAGGGAGGAGGAGGGAGGGGGAGGGGGGCGATTGTGGTGGTGTGGTTTGGGGTGGTGTGGTTTGGGGTGGTGTGTTTAGAAAACGCTTCCTGCAAACCCCACCCCAACCTTCCCCCCCGCCCTCACCCCCTCCGTTCTTCTCCCTTGCGCATGGGTGAAAATTCCTTTTTCCCACCTTAAGAAGGGGAAGATGACCCTAGTGCCCCTTTCTTGAGGGCATTCTCCGCCCTCAGGCAAGTAGTGAACTAGGCGGATGCCTATGCCTAGGTGGGGTGTGCTCTCGCTGCCTAGGCTGAAGGCAGGCCCCTTTTTTGCATCTATGCTATGTGCAGATGAGTACCATGTCGTAATGGGTTCTTGATTGACCATTCCATGAAGCAAATAAAAAATCATGATCGATAGCCTCCAGTGCTGGTTTTATTTTCTTCAACTGTATTATATGTGGCTTAATTCCACATTGTTTTGGGTATATTGGCTTGATTTGCATGATTGGCAAGCTTCAATCTCTCGGTTCTTGACCTTCGTCTTGAAAGCAGGGCATTAGTGGGTCACATTAGACCAATGTTAACAAAGTGGGTTTTTCCCCCTTCAGACATGTTTTTGTTATGGGATTGTCTACAAAGAAACAATATATCTTTGGGTACAGTTTCTATAAGGTTTTAACCTTAAACAATCCAATTAAGGCGCACCTCCAAATTTCATCATAGCATGTAATTTTGTTGTAAAAAAATATTAGGATTATCTTAAAATCTATTTTCATATCTAATTAGAGAATTTTAAACTTTAAAAATGGTTAAAATCCAGTAGATCTATAAACATATGAAAATCTTTAAAATGGACGGTCTAGATATGTGTTGCAAGATACACTATTTCTGAGACTCCAAAACTTTTGTTTTCATATTCATACATCGAGATGATCAATTAGAGGGTTTTCCAACATTAAAACAACCTTTCCGATAGATTTTTGAGGTGCATCTGTAATTCTACATTTTTAGGTTGCAACCTTATGTAAACTTTTTCCTATATCTTTTGTACATGGAGGTCACAATCATTCTTGTCCCTTAAATTTCAAAATGGATGGTTGTTAGACTGTCATTGAATAGACAAAGTTCCAAAAAAAATTCTTGAACTTCGTGACTTATCCCGAGCTATTCAATTTGACATCTAATGAGTGGGAATGATTGTGACCTCCATGTACAAAAGATAAATGGTCTCTTTGTAGACAATCCCTTTTGTTATATGCTTTCACTGTTTTGTTTTTAACTTGTATATTTATTTTTGAATTTGGGGCATTTTGTTAATTTTACAATGGAAAGAGAAAATTATACACAGTTGGATTAGATTTTTAAGAATCACCACATTTAAGGCATGGCTAGAATGACTCAAATTCCAGTTCAAAGATTTGTATGTTTGAATTTTTGATGAGAGGCGGTTATTAATATGTCTTGTTGGCGTGGTCTTTTGGGTTTCCAAGTCACTTGGTGCACGTTAGATTGTAATTGGATGTGAGGTCATTATCAATTATGTAATTGGATTGTGAAAGATGGATTCATCTGTCTGACATTCATATTTGATCTAATTTTACTGTGTTTCCAGGTGGACAATTTTATCCATGCAGATATGCATCCTGGCAACATTCTTGTTCGTGTGTCACATTCCAAACCTCCGAGGAAACGCTTGTTCAAATCCAGGCCTCATGTAGTTTTTCTTGATGTGGGGATGACTGCTGAGCTTTCCAATAGTGATCGTGTGAATTTACTGGAATTCTTTAAAGCGGTTGCTGTGAGAGATGGACGTACTGCTGCAGAGTGCACTCTAAAATTATCAAAACAACAAAATTGCCCTGATCCAAAGGCCTTCATTGAGGTACTATATGCACCCTTGCTTACCGTATGTTGAATGTTTTGATTTATTGCTTGGCTTAATGGATGGTATTTTTTATCGTGACATTTTAGTAATTCCCTTGCTTGTTACTTCCATGTGATGCCATGTTATTAATTGCTTTGTCCATTCTGATTCTGAGCTATACTTCTTATTGAAATAATATGGCTCTTCAATATATTTCTTCGAACTATTCAATATATTTCTTCAAACTTACTAGATTAATGTACTATGATGCTATGTTTAATCCACGAGGATGTGTTGTGCATTATTGATTTGACAAATTTGTAGAACATCTAACATTTCGTTTCAATAATTAGTAATTATTTGTTTCCAGCATTTCTTATTGACAACGTACTCATTTAACAAAATTATTTTACTTTAGAAATTTTCTTTGCTCCATCCAAACTTCCCCAAGGAAAATTTCCAAAGTGAAATCTATGCCATGTTACATAATTGTGGTCTGGATGGGTGTTCTTACACCAGTTTTTATTTTACTGTACTCATTTTTTGCTGCATCCATGCTTCACTGAATTCGTTACTAGTCATTTTCGTGAATATATTAAAGCTTCTTGGCAGGGTCTAGAATTATCTGTCTCATTTGGATTGATAAGGATGTAGCACTTTTTTTACCTTCTATATTCTCTCCATTGAATATGCTTTCTCATAAACTATAAGAAAGAAATAATATAGTTTTCACCCATCTCGTGTTCAATCATCTTAATGGTCTGGGAAGGATGCTTGTCAGAACTGCTATTTCTCCTTTTCATCAGCATTGATCTTAAACTGAAAAATCTTAGATGTCAAATGAGTGGAGCTGATAGTTTATTTGGCATGCCGATCACATTGATACTCCCATGTTAGCCAACCCATTCTCCTCCATATTTTCGTTCAAGTAGAGTTATATTCGTGATATTTGAAGTGGAAGAGCATATATGTAATCTTTCAAGATATTCTATATGGTTCTCCCTTTCTTTTCTTGTCAGAATTACTAAAAATGCTTGGGAACTTCTCTGGGAGTGGGAATGGTAGCAGGAAAGTAAATGATTTTATGCGAGTAATAGCTTAGGGTGTGCCATTTTTAGTGAGGTTGTCATTTCACTGGGATTGCCGTCCCCCTTCCATAGGCAATCAATTTTGACTCGGAACCCACCCCCTATATATAAAGAGATAATGAGTAAAAGATGAGCCAGTTACCTTGGATTCGGGGTCGGTTTGAACGTGCTCGAGTTTAACGCCCTCTTAGATCTCTTGGTGTATAGGATACGGGGGAAGCCCTCCATCGCTCTACCGATCGTGGGGTAGCAGGGGATACGATATTTCGGGAAATATCTCTTGTAGGTGAGCGCCTGGACCAAGTAACACCTCAATATCTTTCGGGGGTGAGCCCTTGGACCAAATACCCTGAATTTGCCAGAAGAGGAGTCGGAGTCGGATCCAGGTGACCCGAAAACCTTCGGGCGAGGGTTGATGGCCTTTCAATCAATCAGATTTGCCTAATTAGGTTTGAATTTCCTTGGATTTGGATGTAGTGATGTCCATCTTTAGATATGGGGGAGGTTAACTAGGGTTTATTAAGGTAGGTTTTAATGTCTTTGGGTTGGATTAAGTATATGTGGGCTGGGTTTTAGGGAGGGTTAACTAGAGTTGGTTGAAGTTCGAGTTAGGGAGGTAGGGAATATGGTTACGTGTAGAAACTTAACCAAGGTTGGGGGTAAGGTTAGAGTTTGGGGTTGAGGTTTATGACTAGAGTAAAGAGGGATGGGTTGGGTCAAGTGTAGAGACTTAACCAAAGTTGGCCTAGGGTTGAGGGATAAAACTAGGGTCAAGTGTTTTGGGTTAGATGTAGAGAACTAAGGTTGGCTTGGGGTAAGGGGATATAATTGGGGTTAGGTGTAGAGGTCTCACCTAGTTTGACTTGGGGTTAGGGTTGTGGGTTAAGGTGCCTAACAAGGGTTAAGGGGGGAAAGGTAGGATTTTCTCTCACTAAACTTTCCTCTCCTCTCAAAGGTTGAGTGATAGACTTTCTCTCTAAGCAAGGAAATCCTCCTAATGAGGTAGGTTGGGGGGTTTTTATAAACAACCCTCATACATGTGTTTATTACCATTAGTTGGATGGGTTGATGGGTGAAAAACTAAAAAAAATTTCCAATAAAATAAGAAAAGGAAAAATTGGACACAAACATTGTCCGAAAATACAACCTAGGTGCACAAAAATAGAGCCTCTTCCTGCCACATGGTATGGGCCTTCATTTATCACATTTCAACTTCAGAATGGACGGCCGTGCATCAAGAAAATGTAGATTGGGCTGCCACGATCATTTTGATATAACTTTTGCGCGAAAACCCAAAGAGTCGGATTTTCAGCTGTTTTTCGATGTGAGGGTTCATACTCTTCTCCATAAACTTGTTTTGATCATTTTCTTCAGAGGTTGTGGTTATTCACTATTTGCTAGCTGGAAAACTGTAGGGGGATCCACCACGATTATTTTTGCAGAAAAGGACCCTTGTTTGGTCGAGTTATGGTTCGGTGAAGTTGTCAGAACTCGAAAATTCTTTGTCATCACAAGTCAAGCGCTATTCGAGCCTCCCTTAATTGTGGCTCACCATATGTCATTGCGAAGCCCTTCGAGTCGCGATCAAAATGCTTTTTATTTCAGCCCAAGATGCTTCTTGGAAGTGGAGATATTGCAAAAATATCGGCAAGGGGTCTCGTGGACTGTGAATTGCATATCCACGAAAGCCCATGAACTTCTCTCTAAGATTTCTTGCAATCCGAGCGACCATCTTCCACATATCATATGCTGAATGAGAGCTCTCGGCGAGGGTTATACCATATCTGGATTTGAACGTGATCCCCTTGGTCGTTTAAGAGATATTGTTGTGGGAAGCTTGCCCATTGTTAGGAGTGTAGCACAAATCACAAGGCCTGCATGGTATGTCTCTCTTTATATCTTTCCTCCAAGAAGTGGATTTGGCTTTGCTTCTCTCATCTCCTATTTCTCTATATGTGTGTGTGTGTCTATATATATATATATATATATATATATATATGTCAAGAGGGCGATAGAGAACTAAGGGAGATAGAGAAATATAAGGAGATGAGAGAGGCGAAGCCAAATCGACTTCTTGCAGAGGGAAAGAGAGAGTGGAACATAACTTCCTTATCGGACCCCTCCTACCCAGGTCGTTCTTAAGAAGAAATAGCTGAGGAAGAAATTAAACAAAATGCTTGGGAGACTTATTAGGACTTAAAGACCCGTTGGGTGTGATGCAATCTACCTAAAATTAACCCTAACAGTAACTCGCCATACTGGACTCACTCCTATTTAATACGGGATTAAGGATAGTCTGTTTTCATGAACTAACACACCAAGAGACAATCTCAATTAAGAGACAAAGTTTTTGTAATTCTTGTTTGCTTCATTTGAAGGCAAGGTTCAAATTTATAAGCCCTAGGAGGACTCTTATGTCTCCTTTATATCATGTCATATAAAAAAAAGGATAAGAAGAATCCTACTTTACATCCTATCGAAGAAAAAGTAAATAAATTAGATAAGAAGAATCCTACTTTACATCCTATCATCTAAAGAAAAAGTAAAGAGAATCTGACCTTTTATAGAATATCGTTATCATTTTTAATACATTCACATCATCAATCATCATCATTGGAGCTTTTTCCCAACTATTTGGGGTCGGCTACACGAATCCTAGTCTTCCATTCTGCTGTATCAAGAGCCCTACCATCAGTGAGGCCATAAATCCCTATATTTTTTGCTCTACTACTTTCAACCATGTCTTTTTGGGCCTACCACTAACCCTTTTTGACCCTTCCGCTTGAACCAACTCATACCTCCTAACATGGATTGTACTGCCTACGCTGCGTATGGCCAACCCACCTAAGTCTACATTATCTCATCTTATCGCTTATTAGAGCCACACCGAAGTCTCTTAAAATGTATTCATTTCAAAATCTATCCCTTGTTGTCTTGCCACTTATCCATCTCAAGATCCTCATCTCAGTTACACTCATCCGAGGGCATGTTGTTTATTGACCGCCCAATATTCTGCCCCATAGAGCAAAGCTTGTCTCACAATTGTCTATAGAACTTGCCCTTCGGCTTTATTAGTATGCGGCGATCACATAAAACTCCAGTTGCACATCTCCACTTTGTCCACCGAGCTCTAATCCTTTGTGCGACATCTTCATCAATATCTCAATTTTCTTGGATTATTGTCGTATGTTCGCTCATTTGGTATTTCTTGGCCATCAATTTGAACTACTTCCTCATCTCTACTCCTATCATTACTAAACTTGCATTTCATATGCCCTGTCTTAGTCGGGCTAATTTTAAAACTTTTAGATTCTAGAGCATCCCCCAAAGTTCTAACTTTGAGCTGACGTTGCTTCATGTCTCATCGATTAAAATTATGTCCTCCGCAAACAACACACACCACGGTACCTCATCTTGTAGGTGCCGAGTTAAGTCGTTCATAACCAAGACAAAGAGGTATGGGCTCAACACTGGCCCATGATGTAGACCTATTGTCACTGAAAATTCACTCTTCTCTCCACTAGTTTTTCGCACACTAGTTAGCGTTTCCTTGTACATATCTCTCACAAAGTCGATGTAGTATCTGTAGACTCTTTTCTTTTTCAACACCTGCCAAATTAAATCTTAAGGTACTTTATCGTAGCTTTCTCTAGATCAATAAAGACCATATAGAGGTCTTTTTTCTTCGCTCTAAACTTGTCAATCAGTTGCTTAAGTAGAAAAATGGCCTCAATTGTTTACCTCTGTGGCATAAAACGAAATTGGTTTTCTGATACACTCGTTTCATGCCTTAGTTGTTGCTCTGTCACTCTCACCCATAGCTTCATAGTATGGCTCATAAGTTTAATCCCTCAATAGTTAGCACAATTATGTATATCACATTTGTTCTTTTAAATGGGTACTACAATACTTTTTCTCCATTCATCTGGC